GACAGTATCTTATGTCTATCGTCTTTTCATGTTGACTTGAATATGGTCTAATGTTAATTATGTTTTAATAACTATGTCCTGAAGAAGGTTTACTAGACCGAAACGTCTGATGTCGATATTGAAATAACATTAAAACAGCATATTTGCATATTCGGATTTTTGTTCTTCCATATATTTTTCTTCATATATATATATATATATATATATATATATTTAAAGACATTTTTGTGTGAAGCTTAATATTACCAGACATATTAAAAACGGGCGAAGCAACGGGTATCGCTCCCGCTCTTCAGGCTTCCACGGGAGATTTAATTTAAATTAAAAACACAGAAAATGTACAATGAAAAGGAAATGTGGAGGAGAAAAATAATATGGACACAAGGGACTAGAGACAAATGACAGGGAGCACCAACAAACACTCCCGCTGTTTACACAAGGAAGGCTTTCGGGACCCGATGTAAAGTACCTCCAACACCTTAAGGTGAAATAAAGAGTGTCACCGGGACAACACAATGAACCAGTCGACACTAAAGTTAGCTGCACACCCTCTGTTCTTTAATAGGCGTTCGCATATGGCGGAACCATAGATATTTGGGACAAGTCCATTCAACGGCAAGATGTGATTCCTGGTCTTAGTGGGAACGTGTTGTTTAATTCTCATGTCTAGGCGTTGGGTCGTCCTCCCTATGTAGTCAGCGCCGTAACTACAAACGTATTTATAAATAATAGAATTAATTTGATGGGGAGGGAGAACATCCTTACACCCAGAACGAAACATCGGCCGGGTTTGAACAAACTATACGAACCTCAGCAGAGAAAAAAACAACGACGAACATTGGATATATATATATATATATATATATATATATATTCATGAATTATTCACACAAATACAAATGCAAAGGTTAATGATTTAATTGGCGAGAAATCCATCGTCGCAAACAATTCAAATAATATACAAAAACCTCCGAACCTGTTATGAATGAAAAGATCCTTGTTTCTATAAATTTCTGCTGCATTAGTTCTTATTTTTACTACAATATATATATATATATATATATATATATATATATATATATATATAATTCACAGGCTCTAGAAGAATATTCAACAGAATGCAGAAAGCCCTGGGACTCCTAAGCAGTACGCATCCACTACCGGGTATCGAACCTGAACCGTGACGATACAATGCAAGTGTCATACCACTAGACCAACAATCCTCGCTGATAAGAGAGAAACGGACTAGACTCGATATACCACCGCTACTCACTAAATTCTATGGTGATACTCATCCAAGTTTACATAACCCGACGGGTAGGGCCCCAAAAGCAACGTCTTCTTTTCGCAAGCCGCTACCTTCAAAGAATTAGAAGCTGGATCAAGCAAGGATATACAAGTGACAGAAAGCCCAAGATTAATTTATTTTACTCCTTTTTGCATATTTATTTTTATTTTTAATTGTTATACAAAAAGCAAATCACGTCAAAATCTCGTGGAAAATTAGAAAAAAAAGATCATCCTACAACGATCAATCCAAAAACTGCAAACTCTGCTTGGAGGAAAAATAGCTATAATCCCAGACCAAGACAAACTACTAAATAAACGATCAGAACTCATCTCAAGATGTACACACGAAAACAAATTTTTACTGCGTTACTTAAAAATCGAAAATAAATAAGCAAAACAAGTAAAATAAATTAATCCAAATACATAAATAAATAAAGTAAATAATAAAATAATTAACAAACCATTCCCGAGAAAATAACTGTTAGAATTGTCTACCCACAGTGCAATAGACTACCCACAATTCACCACTGACTTGTATATATAAATACTCGAGAAAAAAAACAACGCATGTAACATGATGACTACGTTTAGCATGAAACAGTCTGTTGCCTATGAGTTTTGACTTCACTGTTCTCATTTATATATATGTGTGTGTGTGTGTGAAAGTTCTCAGAGTATATCTGTAGAGAAGACAAATTGAATAAAATAGACATTCAGAAAATAGTAATTAGTCCTTGACGATACGTTTCGTCATCCGACTTTATCAAGGCAAGTGATAATAAACAAAAGCAGAATGTTACACGAAAATGTCTATTTTATTCAATTTGTCTTCTCTATAAGATATATTCTGAGAACTTTCACACGCACGCACGCGCGCGCACACACACACACACACACACACACACACACACACATATATATATATATATATATATATTGTCGGCATGGATAAAAGCACACACAGTGAAAAAAAAAAAATACTAACATCCATAAATAGACTTTTTTTTCAAGTAAATGCACAGTATTTCGTGTTTTTTTTTTTTGTTTCCATTAATTGCCTTGATAAATTCGAATGGCGAAATGCGTCGGTAAAAGCTAAATACTGTTTTCCGATGTGGACTCACTAAATGTTTATAGTAATACCTATATATATATATATATATATATATATATATATATATATATATATGAACAATATAAAGAAATATGT